TATATATTACAACCTATAATATTTTTTGCTGCTAATATTACTGTTTATTAGTATATATGTAGTAAACTGATACCACTGGTAATGCAGCAATACACACCAGTAAATTAAATAAAATTCAAATTAAATCACATCTAAGGTCATTTGAAACCTGCTCTTGGCTTTCACACATCCATAAAGTTTGTTTGATTTTAAATTTTCTCAAAAAAACCTAACAACTTTTTTATCAATGCACATAACAAGTTAACTTAGCTAAGCTAAGCTTCATTGGTAATTTTCCAAGAGTCAGCGCCCATTGTGTATACTTGATAAATTGTTTTGTGGTCAATTGCGTGGGCTGAAGTTTTTTTCATGAACTTATTAAAGTGCGATCCGAACAATACCAACAAGCAATTAAATATTAATGCAAATTTTTCATCAATATTGAGCCTATAAAAGCATTTTTCAATTGCATTCACACTTAGTGGAGAGATGCGAATTATGCAAAGCTTAGTACAGACACCTGGCCTGTGCAATATTTATGAGCTAATAAAAATCACACACAATCGACCTTCGTACATACACATACATACACGCACCAACAACCATGCAGAATAATAAACTACGCAAGTAATCGAAGGTAAGCACACGCAGCCAGGAACGAGAGTTATAAATTATTTGCAGTAGACTGATTGGCAAAGCAATAGCATAGTGGCAAGAACAACAAAATGCACCTAATGCAGCGCAACGCTCGCATTCATAGAACGGCGGAGTGGTTGTGGGGGCGGGAGGGGGGTCAACAGTCAACGGGACAACAAGTTGAATAACAGCGGCAACCACAATGGGTACACAAACATTGATAGTAGCTGTGCCCATAAAAGGCGGCCTAGGTACGAGTAGAACGTCAAGGCAGAAATAGTCGGGAGCAAAGATAGAGAAAAATGGCTCATGAAATGAAGCGGAAATGGCAGAAAAGCAACTAACACACACAGCCACTTTCAAAGTCTAACTTATATGTGCATAAGAGTCTTTGGGTGCATGTGAACAAGTGATAAACGTCCTTTTGCTCATGTGAAATTATTTGTATGCCTGTGACTGTGAATGAAATCGAGCGGCCCGTAATAAATGCAAGTCATTTATTTTATTTTATTTCATTTTATTTTATTTCAGTGAACTTTTAGTGGGGTAGTTGTGCTGGAAACAGAAAACAGCTGGCACAAAATACTGGCTTTTATCTATAAATTATATCAAAAATATGAGTATATACATATATTGTTGTGATTTATGTCTCTTATTGATAGAACCGAAGTACAATAAAAATGTATACTCGTAGAAAAACCACAAACACAAAACTGCAAAAAAAAAAAACTCGATATGTTGGGCCATATGTACTATGTGGAACGTAGATATACAGTTTTGTAATTGCCTAAGGCAAAAATCGAAGTTGATTTATGGCTTCAAAATGTAGGGCCCAGCCAGAGTTCATCCACTACGTGAGAACAAGAATATAATGAAATGTATTGTTTATCTATATTTTGGCGACGTTTCATTTAATTTGCACTTTAAAGTGAAAAGCTTGAAAATTATTTATTATTTTAATTTAAAGTGTGATTTCACAAATGTTGTAAATAGCAAGCCAAAATTAAAGGAGTTCTTATATACTAGATTGCACTTCTATTATACTTACAATTATTTATCTAAACATTTGCAACTATAATAGTGCTACTAACTGCCTATATATTCGTCATAGAACTGTTTAACTAAGTATATACCTGTTTGGTAAATGTATATTCTGGCCACTACCAAATGTACCTGCAGGTATAACGATACTCTGCCCTGCCCATACATAATGAATGCGCTCGTTTGCAGTGGCTGGCTGACTACAAGAGAGCCGCAACAAGTGCACTCAACAGTATAGCCTGCCCGGCATGGTGACATGCTGCCACATAGACACACACATACACAGTTACAAACGTAGGTATACTCGTATATGCTACATAGGTGTGCATTTATACGACACATGTTGTCTTCACACTCAAATGCACTTCAAACACCTCGACTGGCATACCACTATGCGACCGCAGCACGCACTAGCAATATACATATACATGTGTGCGTGTGCGTGTGTGTGTGTATGTGTGTGGCGAAAGCTGTCAGACTGCCTTCCCAGCTATCGTACTTTAACGCCTGTCTACCTTGAACGGTCACGACTGACATAAACTTCCGCATTAAATCGACTTTGAACTTGAAAATGTTAGTTACACGCCAATGCCACAAACATATACACATAAATACATAAACACACATAATACGTATAAGTTGCAGGTAAACAACGTGTTTGTGTTGGAATCCGTGAAACGTTGAGTAGTTGAAGGTTATGATGCGGCAGGCGCACATGCAAAATGCAACTTGAAATGGTTTTCATTTGTAGAAAATTTTTTTGCATGCAAAATTTATGCGCAATAGTTTTGCGCAAGCAGAGCACAACAACACACATAATGCATGAGAAATCTGTGCAGCCACATTGCATTTAGAATTCTTCGAAAAGATACGCGTCGAGCCACTGAGGTTTGGCCCTGTCCGTTGAGATGGCCAGTCACGCACACACATACACATACACACGCATACATTCATGAACGTGTCCAGAATTTTGAATAGCAACCACACAAGCAAATACTCAACAAAATCGACAGCTACATGCCTTCCTTCCTGAGCATCTCATGTTGTCCTTTTGACATGCACGCCGAAAAGTATGCAATGCTTTTTATTCGCTAGTTGAAGGTTCACTATTTTCGAAATTTCCTTTTTGGACTCTTCTCTTTTAAGCAAAGCAAACGAAAATGACGCCGTATTATAATTCATAATTCACGGCATTCAGCCAAACATGAAAGATGACCTTTCACAGAAAGCGCGGCATCTCTATGAATGCCACAAGCACACAAGCCAACAAGTCGCACATTCAGCTCGTTTCATTAGCCGCACACTCAAAGTTTTTCACACATTTCCAAGTGTGCTATGAGTCTGCGGCTTTTGCGGCTACTGCACTTGCTTTTCAGCATACAGACATTTATTTGCATGTGCAGGTTGTGCGCATGGAGAAGATGATCTGAGGAAGGGTGAAAAAAAAAAAAAAACACACACATGTGGAAAACGTTTGTTGTATATCAGCAGCGAATGCTGCATTATAATGAGCTGCCCGTTTCTAGCTAAGAGTAGAAATGCTTTTTTTCTTACGTTAGGTTTCATGAACACAAAGTTGCGGCTTGGCATTGGAAATAAAAATAAGGGTTTAATTTATCTACAAGTATTCCGTGGAATATTAAGTATTGAATTACCTTTTGAGAATTAATCTGTTGAGGCACCGAGCTTTTTCGGTAGCCTTTCTTAGTCTATGGATTTTGGCTGAAGCGGGCGTCAAACACGACAATTAAAACAAGAACGATTTCTTTTCAAATGTGCATCTGTATATTTTGCCGCGCAGGGCCAATTATGTTTGTCTATAAACCGAATTAATATACACGAATTTAAGAGGCCACCAACTCAAATAGTTGAGCCTTTAAGCAATATGCACAAAAGTAGAAGTGCGTTGTCTCGTACAACAGCACAGCGAGAAGCGTTACATTGGCACGGCGAATTTAGGTCAACTAACTTCGATTCTAACTTCGAGACTAAGAAAAGGATAACAAAAGGAAATTTACAAATAGTATATGTGAATAATTATGCGTCTGCTGCGGACGACTGCGCTGCCTGCGCCTGCTGCTTGGCCAAACATAATCAATAGACATTTTTTAAGGAAATGTGTTTTGAGTTTCGACCACTTTCGGTCGCTCGCTAGTCCTAAAACATAACACAAACTGAACTAATTGGCTGCCACTTTCAAAATGTTTGTTTGATTCAGTAAATAAGGAAATTAAATATTATTTATAGCACGTTTTTGTCTCAAAAAGCGCCAATTTTGTTTTTTAACTGCAATATTAATACAAGAAAAATACTTAATAAGCGACGGTTTTATACGCTTCAATGTCTTGAGAATTAGCCGACACTCATATCTTTCAAATAACATTATTATAATAGTTGCACACAAGCACGCGTACACCTGGATTCGTATTTCGTCGACTAACATCATAGAGCAACAACAACAGCATTTCACACTTATGGTATTACTGCCTTACACATGCTACATTTTGCAAGCGTTTATTGCGCCGTACATTTTGCCAGACTACAAGTATGCACGGTATATGTACTATGTGTGTAGATACTATATTTTACTACACTGTATACTTTATGCTGACATTTTTTATGCGTTTTAAATTTATTTCGCTATTGCGAAACCTCCGCCGGCTCTGCTTCTGGCGCCTGTCGCACGCACGCAAACTTCCGGCAGGCCACACATACATTCATATACTACTTATATATAGACGTCTATATATGTATGTCACACATGACGACAGCAGCGAGTGGCGGTTTGGTTGCCCTACTGACTGCCTGAACGACTGGCTAGCTAGCTGGCTCGACTGACTGGCAAAGAAATGCAAACAACTTGCGTGTCTGTCTTCATTTTTATTTATCGCGCAAAGTGATTGTGTGTAATTGCAAAAATTGCGTTAAATTATTTAACGTGAGTGGCGTGCGACCTGCACATACACTCGTACGTTTGTATGCATGTGTTTATGCATTTACATGTTCGTGTGTGTGTGTGTGTCTTTGTGTAAAAGCAACGGAAAGAGAGATGGAGGGTGGAGCAATCAACAGACTGCAGGCGGGGCGGCATTTCAATTTCATTTACACTTTGCGCACATTATGTATGTATATGAATATGTGCATATGCATGTGTGCAGAAGTGCGTTGTGAAGGAAATTGATATAATAAATTGTTCACAATGGCAAAAAATTGGCTGGAAATAGAATGCGGCGTATATTGCAGGAAATTATTTTCATACATTTAAAAAAAAACATTAATAAGCATCTTAAATTTTGAAGTTTACGACTAGTTGTTGACTAACAATGTTTTGTATTTCATTGCAGATGCGCGTAAATGAATGTGAATACTTGATGCGGGGCAATTGGCCCCTATTCTGCACAAGAACACACAAATATACAAAATATATAGAGATAAATAGATATACAATAAAAGCAATAAAGGGCAATAGAACGATGTCAAAATAAAATAAAAACAAGAAAACCAACTTACATGTCAAAGAAATAAGAATGCGTGCTCGACAGAAACAACGACAACAGGAACAGCAACAAGATACAGCAGTTTCGGCTACGTCAAGAGCGCGCACAAAGAAAACGGAAGTGAAATTTACTTAAAGGATATGAAAATAGCGCATAAACGAGCCATAACACATGCACAAACGGAAGAGCTTAAAACGAGTACAAAAACCATGAACAACAGTCGGCACATGCACTACCACAATCAGTCAAAAAGCCATAGCAGCAACAACAATAAAGAATACTGCCAGCACAATAAGCACCAACAATAACAACAACGACGACGACAAGAATTACCAAATAAAAGTGAAAGCCGAAGCGAAAGCCAAAATTTGAAACGTGTACGAGTACTTTTCGTTTCGTTTGAGCGTGTAAATACTTAAAAGCTCGTTAAGGGCTACACATCCGCCCACCCAACTCACCCAATCCACCCAAACCTGTCATAGTCAACCCACCGCAGAGTTGATCACGACACTCTGGTCCGCACACACATACTCGTATATGTATGGTATGACCATGCCGAGAAGCCCGCCATTATCCACGTGACTTCATGGCAACATGTCTGCAACTGAGCAACGCTACGTCACCATCAATGTCTGAGTGGCCACTCGCTATTTATTGTTATTGCCCGTCTACGCGGATGCAGCTAATTCGCTGCTTCTCTCTCTGCTGCTGCACTGCAATTGCTTAGTCGCATTTCCCCTTCCGTTCGGCACACTCTCACTCTCACGCTCACGCTCACATCATCTCATCATTTTCGCTGCGGTCGCAATTGAGTGCACAACGAAATGGCGAACGACGCAAATTTCAATGGTTGGTACTTCATAGTCTATAGTCCATAGTTTATAGTCTGTTTATTTAAATTGCCCAACTTCTGTCCAATTCTTGCAGATGCGCTGGATTTCATTTACATAGCCAACAGCATGAATGACAATGCCTATCTTATTGCCGACGAGGACGAGGCACAGTCGCGAATCATGGACGAAGCGAACGATAGCATGGATGACGATGACGATAGTGGAGATGGTGGTGGTGGTGTTGGTGGTGTTGGTGGTGTTGGTGGTGATGGTGATGACAACAACAATAACCAGTACTACAATGACGGCTATTTTATGAGCACTGGCAATGGGAATGGCAATACTGATGCCAACGCTCCCTCCCCCTCAGCAATTGATGCCGCAACCACCTCACCGTTGGCAACAGCTGCACTAGCAGCTGCCGCAGCCTCTGCCTCGGCAGCTGCTGCAGCGGCACGGATCACAGCAAAGGCAGCCCACAGAGCTCTGGCCGCCAATGCAGCCAACAAGGCGGCGAACAAGGCAGCCATTGAGGGAATCTCGGATGCCACAGACAATAACTATACCAACGTGGCTGTCGATCTGGGCGCTATGCTGCTCAACGATTCACTAATGTTCGGTGCCAACGAGACCGGCCTCAGCATATTCGGTGATTTGGTTAACCAGAGTGGACAGCTGTTGAATGCCACTGTTGCGGTCAATGCGACCAAAGTGGCCGACGATGATTTCACGCAGCTACTACGCATGGCTGTTACTTCTGTGCTCCTTGGTCTCATGATACTCGTCACCATAATTGGTAAGTGCGGCGACGGTGGTGGTGGTGGTGGTGGTGGTGATGGAAATTGTGGCAGCGGCTGTTACATCAAAACGTCATTAGACTAAATTATAAAAGCCACGACCACAGCCACTAAGCATGCGAAACAAAAACAAAGCCCAAGACTAAGCATAGACATAATTATTTGTGTGAAGCCGACCACCAAGACCTTACACCCCGTGCTCCCTTTCTATCACAAAAACAAACACATACACAAAAACACAAATTCCTTAAAGGCAAGACTCGAGCACGCTTTTGCTCACAAATCCAGGGTGCAGACTGGCAATTCATTGGGGAGTAGCAGCAAACGATAACAATTCAATAAGCCAGTTGGGTGGAGAAAGTCGACAGACTAGCTAGCTGGCTAATAGGCAGGCTACGTGGCTGACAGTCGAGTTGTCAGCTGATCCAACCATCCCCAAGCAAGTCAAAATATTGTTGAAGCCACAACATGTGCTCCAAATTGTCAGAAATAATATATCTACAATTTAATGAAACATATATTTCGGCAATTCTACTGGATAGTACGTAGTTCATCTTTTGCCCTGAATGCAAAGGGTAAAAAAGATATAGTATCCCATAAAGAATACATATTTTTAATTAGAATGGCGGAACATATGCAAATAGAAATCCCAATATTCTAGAATAACTTTAAAATATTCAAGTATTTTGGCAAATAAGAAAAGATGTTCTGGTTCGTCGCTGTTCTGTAATCGTACTTCTTCTACTTTTGTTCAAGTTTTATTCTAACTGAACCATTGTACATCGCTGCCTCATCAATTTGTTCGGCTTGCAGATAATAAAATACGCGTAACTGATATTTATGATGCTGGGCCATTTTATATTATTTATTATTGTTGTTACTAGGGCGCAAGCTGCTTAGTTTGTTATTAATAAGTCTGCTCAATGCCGCTGCTGCTAGTATTGTCTTCATTGTTGTTGTCTACATTCATTAGATGCTGCCAATAGCAATTTTATAAGTCCATGGACCATGTTGAAGAGAGTGCTGCTGATGCTGACGAATATAAGAAGGACAACGATACCAGCACCACATCTATCCTATGCAAAGTAACGATTTTCCGCATTAAAATTGACAGTCAATCAATCAATCACAGCTTCAACATTGCCTCATCAATGGCGTGTAGCATTCTCAGGAAAATTGTCAAAATGAAATTTGTGTATTTCATTCGCTTGTTCCCCCTTGCACGACTAGAGTCTTGGAATTTACAGTCTGTTATAAAATTCAAAGAGGGAGAAAACAAAAACGATTTATTTAGCATATAAAAGCAAATGTAGCGCAATTGCAATGAGGCAGTAGTATAAAAAGTAAAAGGCAGCGAATTGATTTCATTAATTTAAGTAAATTCCTTTTAATTTGAACGCATAATCAGCACGCATACAATGGCTTCGCAGACTCCACGAATGAAGGGGCTGTCCTGATGCCCTGATGCCCTGCTGCCAACTAGCATAAAATTATATGCCGCGCACAAAAGTATGCCAAGCTTCAATGTCATGCGGCCGTTTCCGGTGGCGATCCCCCACAGCGATTTCATAGCCTGGCTGGCATTTTAATGCGCCATTCACATGCGTGCCCATTTTTATTTTTATTCGCTGTATTTTCCTTCTTCATTTTGATTTTCTTCTAATTTGCGCTTATTTAGTTGCGCCTCCGCTTTTATTCGCATTCATTCGCAGTCGGCCTGGCCTCACTGGGCACTCACATCGTCCACCATGCACCTTCTCCGTCACCCACTCACCATCCACCGACCACACAATCCCCTTGCCTACTGAGACTGCCATGGTTGTCTGCCAGGCACCTCCACAACAAGTACTAGTCATTGACTTGTGTGCGTGTCGAAAGCTGAAAGCTGATTTCATTTCGTTTTTTACTTTGCCTGACTCTTATGCCCGGCCAACGGCTACTGAATGTCATAAACAGTTGGACTCATAATTGCTGCTTCTCCCGCTGCGTTTGCTTTGAATGCCTCTGAGTGTTAGAACTTAGCATTACAAAGAGAAATGTTAATGAGCGTCTATGCTTTTAGATGATAATTCTTTGCTTTTTTTGGGGAGACAACAAAAAGCATATTACCTGCATAGATTAACCAGAGCCATTTAATGGTCCGCTATCTCAGGGTTTTTCAAGATAATCTAAAACCGATTACGATAATACTTTTTAGTAAGGCACAAAAGCAACCCTAAATTGATGTTTTTATAATTTATTGAATCAACTATAATTATTCTGACAAAAAATGTGACTCCTGCATTAGCGCATTATTTTACTAATGGTACTATTGGCATTTGGGTGCTAACAGGGGTCTTAATCATGAATCGTTATCATTCTACAATTATTTATCCAATTTGTCAAATACATTTGTTGTGGACAAAAGGGGTTTTTGTGAGTTTTTTAACGAAGCTAATGGAGATATTCCGAATTCTTGTGATGTCAATGAGGACTAAGCGCGCATTCCGCGTCACTGCGTTATCTTTTTGATATTTCACTTATCTACCAGATTATACACATTTTCGAATTTATTTATTACACGCTTCACTTGCTGGGCAAATTATAAACACAAAAAGAGGTGCGTAATTTTCACAGCTCATGCACCATTGAATAAATTAAATGCAAATTTGATAATTTCAACTGCTCGTCACTTTTTTCCAATAAATGGCAATAAAAATGCTATCGAAAAGAGATTAAATTATTTGTAGATGAATAATACTGTAATTCGGATTCATTTTAGTCCTTTATTTATATCCAACAATATGCTCTGGCTAATGCTAGTGTTTCTTACCCCTTAGTCACTATGCGACATTCATGAATGCATATTCTTGGCATTCATCCGGAAGCCAGTAGAAATCTGCATAGCTCACTTATGTCAATAGCTGGCGGCTCTTTGAAGTGACGACAAAGGCGGAACAGGTGAAATAAAATACAAACACGCTAGTTCTCTTAGCTGCAGTTGCTGGCGGTACGTCACTGTGCCTTCACTTTGAAACTCAAGCTTGTAATTGCACTTGTATATATGTATGTGTATAGGTACACATTTATGTATATGTCTGCCGACCACTTGTCAGTTTGGCGTGACAGTGTCGCACCTCGGGCCAGCCGACAAATTCAATGGCGAAAACTTCAGGTCTCACAGAGCCCGTTGCGCTTTCCAGCACACATTTATTTTTCACACCTTCAAGTGGGAAGCACAAGTAGCCATGGCAGTGAAAAAAAAAACTAACCAACATCAAAGGTTGTGTCTTAAAATGCAGTTAGGGGCCAGGAAGAGCAACTACATTTAAGGCCCGCTGTCCATTTTTCACCCACTCAGCTCAGCTCCGGGCAGGGCTAGCCAGCCCGGCTTTGAAAGTTTACGACAGCGCGATTAGCTCATGTCGTTTATTTTTGTGAACTTTGTCGGTTTCAGTCAGTCAGCCAGCCCATTGGCCCATTGGCCCACCTGCCGAAAGTGCAACAATGCGGGTGGCTGGTGAGATGTGGCGGCGACTGAGGAGACAGTTCATGTGCAAAAGAAACAGTGAGCTTTTTGTGCAACCGAGTGGCAATGTGCCGTGCGGATCTGCACCGACAACTTTAATAAGATTCCTATTTCCTTTTACCACATGCCATGGCACATAGTAGAAGGCTGCGAAACTGCTCAAGACTTCCTAAATGTTTAGTTTTGCTCTCGGGTACTGGGCTGGCAGTTGGAGTTTGTTGAATGCGACGCGTGCATTGCAAATAACTTTGCCAATTTTCAAACTTTATCTGTTCAGTTCGGTTCACTGCGGTTGCGTTTCATTTTCACTTCACAGCTGCTCCTTTTTGCTCATTGCAGCCACATCTTGGTTCCTTTTCTTTTTCCAAGCTATATGTAATTGAATTTCGAACTTGCGAAAGTCAATTTTCGCAATTAAGCCGCTAAAAAGTTTCGCCACGCTGCACATGAAACGTGATTTCTGCTGCACTCGGCTCACACACATACACACACAAATACACATGCCCATCATCGTGGAAAGGTCGAATGGACGAAGGTCCATTGTAAGCGCAAAACCATTCATTTGTCTATTTCCTTTTCATTTCAGGCAATGTCTTTGTAATTGCTGCCATTATACTGGAACGCAATCTGCAGAATGTGGCCAACTACTTGGTGGCCTCGCTCGCTGTGGCCGATCTGTTTGTTGCCTGTCTGGTTATGCCATTGGGTGCAGTCTACGAGGTGAGCAGAGTGCGAATTATAGCATTTAAGAACTAAAATACAAAAGTAATTTCTTCAAACAATTTCATCAACGACTTCGTGCGAACGACTTTATGCTCATCTATAAAGACCCACGTTTAAACTCGTTTCAGTATACATTAGGGATGTAAGTCGAAGGGAAAACATCGATGTTGATGTACATCGATGTCCCTTTTTCAAAAATCGATGCATCGCAAAAAACATCGATGCATCGATGTTTTAAAAAATTGACTTTCCATAGAAAAACAGCTATTATTAGGGGGAAATTAAACAGCGATGTTTGAATTAAAAAATGTTTATATATCAAGAGAGAATTTCACAGCATTATACTTAATGTTGTTAATCAAAAAAGTACTCAAAAAGTACTAGCTGACTTTTGATGAACTTGTATGGCTTACTTAAAAAAAACTGATTATATACAGTTTTAAAAACAACGACGCGTTGCAGCTACACCTTTTAAGCATATTAAGTGTAACATAATGTACGAAATAAAGAAGATCTCAAAAATTAAAATATAAATAAAATGTATATTAAAAAATATAACAAAAAATAATTTATAATACAAATATACCTTCTTCGGTAAGCCACACAAAGAAATGTGACCGCCCAACAAAAAACCGATGGTTCGACTATCGGAAAACATCGATGCATCGTGCTCGAAATATCTATGTTTTTTACATCCCTAGTACATCCCTACATATAGTACTTATGCTTTTTAGGCAGTTATCGCCCATTATAATATAACATAACAGATTAATGTAGAAATTCAGATAGACAAATTTGATAAAATATTTTCGGATTGATATTTTTAATTTTTTTATTTTTTAAAATTACAATTAGTTTCGAATGCTAACAGATAAAATCTATTAATAAAGATCAGTATCTTTTGGTGTCGCAAGCTACCAACTGAAACATTTAGATAATTACTATATTTCTAATTTACATAAACTGTTGCTTCGTACATCCTGCCGAGCATGCGCTTGTGCCAATGGTTAGCTAATAGCTCGAAACAAAAGACAATTGTAGATATTAGTAATCCAAGAACGAGGATTAAAAATACAGGCTGCAAAAAACGCGTGGATAACGGATACTGGCGAATCATCTCGGACGTTTCCTTTTTAAGTAACCCAGATTCCACTGCCTGCCACAGCGCTTTATCCATCCATTTTTGGAATAATCCCATTTCAAATGAAGTCAAAATAAATTCTTTTAGGGGTACCGCAAAAGGAGATTCTCGCATTACAGGCATCATCATCAGTCGCGGTACCGAGCAGAGCTTGTTTCCGGCCAAGCGCAGCTTGGGATGTGCCAACTGCTGCTGTACAAGCGCAAGAACTGGCCATTGATGGGCACCAATTACGTAGGCGTAGCTTTCATTCAATTCAATAAGATGCTGTCGTAGGGTCTTCGTGTCTACTACGAGCAGGCGATCTAAAAGCTGGCGCGGTAAATAGTTAGGCTCGAACAGATATATCCGCTGATGTTCGTGAACCATTATGCGCAGATTTGTTGCCCGAAAGGTCGCCACATCCGTGATCTCCAGATTGGGGCGCCATACGGTCAAGGCCATGGAGAGTTCACTCGCAAAAATGCATTGTGCTAAGACGACACAAAACTCGTAGAAGGCTACGAGCATCATCTCTGACAAACGCAGACGATTCAACTCGCTGTTGGACGCTCCTACGCAGAGTTGAAGGCGAATTAAATACCACAGCTGCGAGCTGATCGACATAATTCGCTTGCTTAGTCGCTTTATAAACATAAATACAGTCAAGAAAATAATATTTGTTATAAGCCAGTAGAAGATGTGAACATGCAAATGGGCAAATCGAATTGGTAGAACTGATATCCTATTAGGCACGATAATGCAGGCATTAGTTGCCATCAGAATACAACCAGTTTCCATTCGGCTGTAGTTAAATGCCAGACTGACAAGTGTGTCGCTTTTATTTAAAAGATCGACGCTGTTTCTGGGTGGCAGCTTCATGGTGCCATTCATATGCCTGATAAACTCTGACATCAGGAAACCCAATAGTCCGCCAATGCTGAGATTGCCTCCCGTTAAGTCTTTCTGAGCTGACGAGTTAAGCTGTAATGAGAAAATTTAGATAAATTATCAAAAATGTGCTTTAATATTTGAACTTTGCCAATTCACGTTCATATGTACCTTGACTAAAGTATTCCTTTTAAATCAGTTATCACAGATTACTACTCACCCAAAATAACATAGGGATGTCCTCATACTCAGGTATTGAGAAATGATAGCCACTAAGGAGTCGCCTCCTCGCAACATTGAAATTTCTACGCACGTTGAAAAAATATGTTGTTATATTGTAAATTGTCACTTCTGGGAAAGCCTTGTAGCTGAATAGTTCATAGTCGTTGTTCGCATTTAATGCAGTCTTTGGCCGTAGGCAGGCAAGTGTAACAAAGAAAAAAAGCTTGTCAAGGCACCAGCTGAAAAAGTCTCTTAATTGAGATTCACTAAATGACTTTGAATTGGGCGATTCATACACAAAAATTATGAATAAACCATGAATGGCAAACAAGGCGTCATCAACCGTCTGAAGCATAGGATCGTCCATACCACTGAATAAAACTACAACCACGCTCCAGGTCCCAATAATATGTTGGAGTCTGCCAATTTTTGGACCAGCCACAATCACAGGCCGATTAAATTGTTCAACTAATTTCTTTTCAAGAGGGCTGCTGGAGCCAAGCTCAAGATTTCCAAAAAATGTCACAATGCACCTGACGCTGCTAATTCGGTCCACTACCTCGATTACCCTACACATGAACTGGTTTTCAAAGTCACTGTTCACCACCGTCTGCAACTGGCAGCCTACAGGACTGGGCAGTAAAAGAATAGTCCAAAGTATAGCCAGCTTCATGGCTGAAGAACTTCTATATACCGAAGCTTTTTCGAACTGGCTTTTAAAGCCACAAATGCTTATTTAAGCAGTTATTAAGTGCCATTATAAAATGACCATCGCATTGAACGCAACAGTGACGGCTCCCTGATGTCGCATAAAAGTTAATAAGCCATAAACTTTTATTGTCTATTTGAATTGCACGCTGACACATTTTATGTTCTGCCCACAGATCAGCCAAGGCTGGATACTTGGACCAGAGCTATGCGACATTTGGACCTCGTGCGATGTCCTTTGCTGCACAGCCTCTATTCTGCACTTGGTGGCCATAGCTGTGGACCGGTAAGTAATTAAAAATATATCTACGCCAATTTACATTTAATTTGCGACAACAAATCTGACTCACTTATACCAATACACAGATATATGTATGTACGGGTATGTACATTAGTTGAGTGTAAAACATGCTAGCATGCTGTCACATCATACGTGCGTGCGCATGTGTCCGTGTGTGTTTATTTTAAGCAAATCAATCAATCAATGTTTAAAACATGTCAAATATCTTTACAAATCCACTTTGCAACATTATGTAGCGAATACGTGGCTGCAAAAGTGCACAGTGATTCCAAATACGAATATTCCAGGAGCAATCATAGCCTCTTAACCGCTTCACCGGAATATATTTGAATAAGTCAGAAATAAATAAAATAATGCAAAATATATTCTTATATTACAAACATAAAATGGAAGAAAATATTTTATTTATTTTATTTTATTTTATTTTTATTTTATTTATTTTGAATTATTTATTAATTTGGATTTAAACTGTAATATCCCAGTATAAATATTTTTTATTAACATATTTTTCCATTTAAGGGTGAAATATAATACAGTCTTATAACATATTCAAGTAGGTAAAAATATGCATTCTGTTATATGCATATATGTATATATTTATTCTTATGCATTGAACTATTTCAGTTCAATAATGCAATGTAATTACTTCCAGTAGGTCCAGACACTGTGCTGGTAGCTTTTGACGTCCACCTGCGTACATGTACAATTATACCCTTGCAGAAACAAAGCTGTTTTCCGTACTCGAAATGTGCCAAAGCATTTTGCTGGATCCAAATCGGTGGCCACACATAAATGGCCAATGAACTGAAGGTCCACCGGTTTGGACCTGTGGCAGTCTGGTCGTCTCCCTTCAATGCCGTCATATGTCACATAATGGCTGTATCAATCTGCCATAATGCTTGTGACATGGATCAGTGACTGTTTGATTGGCGGCTGCTGGCATATCATCAATCAACATACAGCAAACATTTCAATAGCATAACAAAAGAAGGCGAAGCAGAAAATGAATTGAATTTTATTCACCAGCTATAAAATGACAAGAAAAACAAAGTTGAAGTCCCGTTTTATATAGCTGTGATATGACCTTATATTTCCTTCCTCTAGCTTGTGGCTAGGCAGCTAATTTCTCTACAAATATACATAAAATGCACTCCCATTTTAACAACAAATTCGGTTTATTTTCATGGCCGCCCTGCACACAATAAGTCCAGCAAATTGGTAGCAGCTCGATACTTTCATTTTTATTTGCCAATTGTCGTATACGTAATGCGCCAATGTGCAATAGGAACGACAATGCCAATGGCAAACGCAATAGCAATTGCAATAGCAATTGCAATGGCGTGGGCAACGGTATTTTGTATACTGTATTTAATGAGCACTTAGCAGCCGAAATTCCAGCAAATTAGTATGCCAAAGCAAATACTCAAGTGGGTAACGGCGGCAACGTGTCGTATGCGGAATGCAATACACAATGCATTTGATTGTAAAATTAAATTTCATTGCATAGCCAAGCCCGCATAAGTGTAGCCCTGGCAAAATAATTCGTTTAGCCGCTCGAGCGCTATTTGCTGCAGGTACTCGTATAATGGGAATAACAGTACGCTGATACGATGCAATTATATCGCGGTTTCAATTAGCATAAACAATAACACGAACCCATAGAATCGCAATAAATAATGCAATTTGATGAGCGAACAAACAGGTTTTTGTTTCTGTTTTTGAATCTTTCAATTATGATATTGCATACAAATGCATTTTTGTTCTCTTAGCCACAGTTATGAGCAGCAAACACTGCGGTAGATGCCCATGAATTTTCAATAAATTGCATCGCTGATTAAAATTTTAGAGCCCACACGCATTTAGAAGTTCTACTTTTTAAACTAATTAGCGAAATTGTTTGATTAGCTTTGAAATGTAATGAATGCAAAAGGATGAAGTTGAAAAACGAATTGCGAAATGCGCGAACAATGATTTCCTCATTCCATCCAATTGAAAAGAAAATGTGTGCCATTCCGTTGAATGCTTTTCATATAATTGGCGTGCCCATCAAATTCCGTAGGGAACAATTTTGCTTGACACATGCCAATTGTAAATTCTATATATGTATAGAAAATTGCCTGTCAATAAATAAAATAAGTCGGACTACACATAGATGCTGGGTTCATCTAAGGCGCAACAGCATCACCGATGGCTGCTTAATATGCGAAGCCAAATGGCCCGCAGCCTAACGGCCGTCATCTCATCAAAAGGTATTTGCATGTCAGCCAGGCCGAAACAAACTTAAAGCAAGCTCATGGCAATTTTGGTTGGTATTTGGTTGTTATGAGCAAACCAAAAAGTATGCAAATGCCGTTTCGTGACAGTGTTGATAACGTGTCTTCTTGAGTGGCAAGTAATTTTTAGAACGCCTGCCAGTTTCTACGAAAGACAAGCCAAATCCCTTGCATGCCATTTTCCGGAAGAAGGATGTCCACATTAGGAAAACAATTAGAGCGTCTTACTTGGTTATACATCTTATTTGTTAGTTGTCACTTGATATTTTAAATAAAATACCATTTTATCACCAAATGAAATGAAAATTAATGTGCTTTTAAGCAAGCTGCCTAAAAGTATGCAAAGCTTTCCTGTTGCTGCCGAAGGATGCCTCTCCTTGCCTTCGCCATTCCACCATTCCGCCATTTCGCCTATTCCTGTGCATTAATAAATTAAGTTTGTCAAACGGCCCTCTGGCAGTTGGGCCGAAGAGCTCCCCCTTTCACCTCCCTCTCTTTTATGTGTAAATATGTGAGTGCCAGCGAATGATAAATAGTTGCTGAAATTCGACTACAATAATATTTGCAAGTATTTGTCGTTACGAGCCGACGACGACATTGTCGTTGGAATCATTGGCACAGGGCGCCCCTGCTGCTTCTTGCCTCTTGCCACGATGCCTTGGCGATGACAATGTTCTACTTCTGCTTCTTAAGCAACAACAGCATCAACATCAACAACAACATGCTGAACAGGAACCTTAGCAACAACTGTCTCTTGGCTGTTGCCGAGTTCATTTTCCATGTCAGTAATTTTTAAGCAATTAAGACAAAGTGCCAACAATATTTACGAAAACGTTGCCCATGTATTTTTGTGGGCATTGTGCATGGGGGCGCAAAAACAAAAGCAGCCAAAATAAAAAAGGTTAAATACATATATACATACATACATACTTAGTATATATACTCGTGCATAAACATTGTACAAATATACGGAGGCCACGACAACGAAAATGCCACAAATACGAATAGAGCCACACAACCAGGCACCGACGCACAGTGGGGTACTGAAACAAAAAATGTTCTCTTAGACAAGACAGAAATCATTTTAACTAATTTAATTATTATAAGTATAAATAAGTAAATAAGCAAATAGAGGCAAGTTTAAAGTTTGTTTTAAACGAGTAAACAAATTGTACAATCTTGTATGCAATTAATTTCACTTGCACGCAATTTAATTTGCTTGTTTCTGTCCGGATATACCAAGAGCCCTTGGCATTTCCATGTGCTTCTGTAGTCCGTAAAGAACAGGGTATATATTAGGTTTGACAAACATATTCTGTAGAGGAAATTGTGATAGAAATTGCTTTAAATAAGTAAACATATCATAAGATTATTTTCAACATACAGAAAGTAATCTTAATTTTTTAAAATTAAATTTGATTGTGATACAAAGACAACAAAAATAAATTATTTAAGAATAAAAAAAACTGCTTCTATTAACTCAGATATACACAATTTTAAATTAAAACCAGGTTTTGGTTCAATGGCCCCACTGTATGATACAGTGTACGGCATACAAAAATGCTGGACGGGCAACAAAAACGCACTGAAAACGACAAATGGCGCATAACCATTAATCTTTATGCGGCTCTGCCGTGATCATTTCTGATGCCATTGACGCTGCTGTACTGCTGTCGATAGTAAAATATATGCACATACATAAATCGCACCAATACTAACTCCACAAACACACACACTCACGAAGGCACGCATACATTTTATGGTCTGTGTGCTGCTGACGTCATTATTAGTAAGCAAGCCAGTTGTGATTGTGTTTTAATAAATGACAAATGCCCAGTGTCCACTGAAAGCAAACTTTTATTTTTCCGCCAGCATTGAACATTACATCGGGTCATAGACCGGATGACTTTCAATTCTGTTCAACATTTTCTCATGCCGAGTCCAGCCCCTGTGGAGCACTCCATGTTGCAACCGGACCCATCCCGGGCACTCGCCCATTGTCATACTTAACCGCAACCACTTTGCGCCCACTAAGGCCACTAATGGCAGCTGTCCACAATGTTCGACCAACTATATAGGCATGTTGTATATGCTTGTACTATATGGCTGACGTTTGGTCTGACTATTGTTGTTGATGTTGTAGTCTTGCCACGGACCAGCAGTGTATGACATATTCAATTAAATTTCAATTAAGTTAACATAGTTTTCGTAAATATTTTACCATTTAGCACTTAAAACGTAATTACATGTTCATATTCGACGTTGTTGCCGCTTTCGTTGTCGTTGTTTGGCCACTCGGTTGGCTTTTTTGCCAGCCTAACCGCAACTGAACGAAGCGGCGGCAACAGCCGCTGCCACGCCCATCCTGTTTCCACAAATGTGCTTTCATGTAATTGTAATTGTTGTTGTCACATCGTTTTTGTACAATTATTACACTATCACACCTAAGTATGCGGACAACCAAATGTTATCCAAATATTTCATTTCATGTTAAACTTGTTTATTTATAAAGCATTCACCAATTCCATTTGCAAAAATCGAGTAAGCGAGTAGTTAAATTTTGATAAGAATGAGCCACATTCCAATTTAAAATACGAAGACAGCAAAACAAGGCAAAAAACTTTTGCGAACAAAGGTCCATTTTAACAAGAGAGAACGCTACAGTCGAGCAAGCCCGAGGTATATGCGCCCATAGCAGAAGCAAAAAGAGGA